CAAAAAGCTTTCCCTTGAGGATGGCTCTGGCTATATGACACTGGGCAGGGAGGGCCTCAACACCTTTAAACCTTTCCTCACATATGAAGTAAATAATAAATAATTAAGCCTTTCCTCACGACCTGTCTTTACAAGTGAAATCTGAACTATGAGCTATGCATGCTCAGAGATCAGTGGCGTTGACTGGGTAACTAGGGCTCCACCTGATTTTTTTAATAGATGGAAATGGATAAGCTGGAGTGCCCGAGTCACAGCCCTTAGCTACATAGCTTCTTTTCTCAGATTACCGGTAACTAAGGGGAAAACAGGAGATAATGTAAGTCCCACTACAGGTGAGTTTGTTGGTAGTGTTTTGGATTTTTTTTTAATTATTATACTCTCTTTTTATAGTATCTTATGGATTTCAACTTTAGGCCTTTGTCTTTTTATAATGTCTTTCTAAAGTCTATAGGTAATTAACCCCACGAAGCTTTCTCCCAAAGGGTAAAATTACAAACATTCCTATCTCACATAGGTGCATGGGGGAAAGGGAGTGAGTGTTAAAACCCAAAATGCCTGGGCCAAATAGTTATCCCTCCCTCCTGCTGGCCCATCTTTCCTCCCCATATGGTTTTTTCTCTGCTTCCTCCCACAGAGGACATGCCAAGGGGTTAAACATATTAAAGGCACACTCTTTAGGATATTCCTTTCCAACAGGAAAAAGAGGCAGAGGGGAACAAAAACCAAGTCACACAGGTCACACAAGATCCTGGAAGAGAACTCTGGCCTTTAAGACGCGATGTACAAAGTGGAGCAGCAAACAGAAGAAATCATGCTGTTAATTCAAGCTAAAAGCCCTCTTTTCACCTGTAACACCCAATTAATGAGGCAAGAGTGCTTTCTTGACCTGAATCATACACTTCCATTTGAACACAAAAACAGCCTTAGTCTAATTCTCTATTGATAAACCTTTATTGACAACAGAGAATACTGGAGAGACAAGATATGTGAAAGATGAGGGATGAAGAGACCAGAAAAAGCAATGTATGATGTTTTAGTCATCTACATAGCATAATTACCAAACTATAAGCCTTACAAACAACCAATAAGCAGATCATTTTAAAAACTCTTAAACAAAAACAAGGAATTCATGGTGGCGGGGTGGGGAGGGCATAGTTTATGCACCCACAGAAAAGCATTCTCCTTAAAAAATAATTACATGTAATTTTTTTTAAAGTGCACCATCTACACACCTATTATACTAGCAAAAATTACAAAAACTATAAAGTTCCATATTGGCAGATTGTGTGGAAACATACCCAAACACTGCATGTGGCATTTTATAATGCTGCAGTGTTGTTTCTGGAGATTACTTTGGCAATGTACAAATCACTAAAAATGATCATGCTCTTTGGTGATGCATACAGCACTCTGGGGAAGACAATCCAATGAAATAATAAAAATAAAAACACCACCACTTAGAGGAAAAAAATGTACTTATGTTATATTTTACAAATAAAACCCGGCAAATGCCTCACAGGCTTGACTTAAGGAAGGTTACTGTATGAATAAAAAACAGGATACGTAACATACACAGAAAGGACTTATGAAGTGACAAAGTATTCATGATAATACCAACTTGGGAGAGGTCACGGAGCTAATCAATAGTTGGTGATATTGGATTTTGCCATTTATATTCAAGCTGGTCTTGGTTTTGGTGCCTATTTTTTGCTAGAAGGTGTAGACATTTGGGATAATAAAGACTAATTTTCTCCATCTCAGATTTTTGCCACTTTTAGGCAATGTGGCCTTCTCGGCCCTGAATCATTACCCTCATGTCAACCGCCCAGATGGAAGCTGAGAGTGACGTGAGGACTCTGACTCCTGCTCGAACTGGTACCTCCAGCCACATGGAGGCTCCTGGCAGCATGTGGGAATGTCCCCTCTGTCACCACTTTGGAGCCAACCAACTTCTTACCCCTCAGCCCACAGGAGGGATGGGCAGTGGAAGGTTTCATCACCTCAGAAAACGTTTCCTTGGTTTCACTTGTATCTTTTCAAGAAATGACGGGAACGGTTCTAAATGCTCCAGAAGATGTTGAGAAAGTCCCCATTCGGGAAAGAGAAGCAGGAATCTATCTTGGGGGCCTCTCGGAGAACTAAATTTGTGCTTTGCACTCTATCACTAAGGTTGAGAGTGGATCGTGTTTCTTGCCGTTTTCAGATCCCAAATCCGAGGCTTACTGTGGGCACAGGGTGTGAGTACTAGGTGGCCAAGTGACAAGCAGGTGCCTTGGCTCCTTACTTCGACAGCCCTAGAACACACACACCATTCCAACTTCTCATCACCAAATAAACTGAACTGATTCTTGGGCTCCTACAGTGCTTTCCATTTTAGGTCTATATTTACATTCCTCACCCTTGTTGAAAAACTTCAGATACAGGTCTGCAAATAACAGGCTTAGGAATAAACTTGGCTACCGGAGCTACAGAAAACAAGATCAATAAAGCCAATAGCATGTGGTTTAGTGGCCACAGAACTTCCAAGAAGAGAGGAAAAGCAGGAAAAAGGCCCAACACTTCAACAAAGGAATTTCTTTCATTTTTTCCCTTGACACCTAAAGGCAAAGCACTTTAATTACCTGAGTCTTTACAGTAAGTTTAAACTTATATTTTATGCTCCCACTCTGAAATCTGCCCTGTTTAATAATCTGTAACATCAAGAAAACATTTGAAAGTGTCTCTCACAATTAAACCCATCCATAACCTTGTATAAATCAAAATTTTGCTACCATATCAAAATGTTACACTGGGGCTGTATAACATTGCCCACATCCTCATTACATGCAACACTAATTACTACCAGCAGATTCAGAATTTTCTGCACATTAGAGGCTTTTAGAGGAGCTATAAAAAATTTCAGGCACCATTAATTTAAATTTGTATTGAAATTTCCTTTTGACAGATGGCCAAAAATTACTTATTATTTAGAGTACCAGAGCTGCCTGTTTGCACATTAGAAGAGGAAAGGGAAAAATTAAAAGCAAGAAGGAAATTTATGTCACGTTCATTACCTGTTAAATGTTAAGGAGCATTATCCTGCATGAATAAATTATTTCATACAAGCCCGACTCCAGCTGCAGGCAACTGGCATGCTTCGGCTGATAAAAACCATCTTCAGTCACACAGTAGACAATCATAAAAAGCCCCTCTTAACCAGGAGCCACTTATGGGAGGATAAGGACGATCGATGGAACAAGCAACTAACTGCTTCTCTGAGCATCACGGAACACCTTTACAAAAATTAGCGAACTATATCACCTTGCAAAGCCATAGGACAGCCCCAAACCTGACACAACACAACTTCAAATTCAAGAACGGTACCCGACAAAAGTGTCTATTTATAGCTACCACTCCATAATAAATCAAGGCAAAATCATCCACCTCTATTTCCTTTTGTTTTCCCCCTGGCTTCCTAGCTATATAGATACACACTCCCAGGCTCATTCTGAATGATTATAGATGATTTCAAAATATACCCTACTCCAGCGTGAGGGACTATAAAATGTAATAGACACAAAAGTGTGCACTGGAGTATGAATATTTTCACGGTCTTCTGGGAGTAGGGCATGAGAGGAGGCTTTTGTTTAGTTCACTGGCCTGCCTGAAGGTATGTATTTATCATATGAAGGCAGGGAATGTTTATGTTACTGGCCTCAGAATAACTAGACAGGCTTTCCAAGGGCTGCTATCATATAATCCCAGTCAATGCATTTACCTACTACTTCCTAAGTATACATGTATGGAACGGACTGCACTCTGATTAAGAATGCTTTTTAATTTAGGTATTGATGTTCGTATTATACAACAAAGTACACAACTGTAAATGCATAATTAAATAATTCAGTGTGTGCAGTTCCAATTGCAAACGTTGACATTTCTGTGGTGTACAGACACCTTTCAAACAACAAAGATTCTTGAAGGGTAAAACAGATAGCTTTTATTTTCCATCATTTAATGACTTTGGGGAAAACCCTACTTCCCTTTTATTATAAAAGGACAAGGCGTGCAGAAGCATTCAAAGTGACAGCACAGGTGGTTTCAGGGAAGATCTTAGTCTCTGTAAACATAACCTCATTAAAAGCTGCAAGAGATGTAACTGCCTGTGCTCCAAAATATTTAACTGTTGTAAAATACAAGGAAAGGAACTGACAGCGCCTGTGCTTTGGCCAATGCTTGAGAACTGCCCTTGCTTTCTAACCTGGACACAATACAGTGGCCTGTGTGATACAACTACCCATAATACAGCAGCATGTTTACATTGTGCCTGGCTCACAAGTTACCAAGTAATTTTCATATTTTACTCATTTCCTGCCGTGGTAGCCTGTTTTTCTTGTTTGCTTACTATAAATTCAGGCATCCTTAGCACATCCCATTATGGTATTACACAAGCATAGCCAAGTTATTAGGCCCTAAACACTCTTCCTCTTTCCCTAAAACTTCTCTAGAAAGAGATGGAGAAGGCATATAAGACAGACGCAAAACTCACGGAATAACCTGCTATACTGGAAACCAAGAAGTCATTAAAAAAAAAAAATCTTTCTGGCGAAGAAACATGCTCTTAATGTTCCGATAAAGAGTTTTGTAGGACGAAACTGTTTCCCAAAATGTGTATTTCCTGATAAACCATTTTCCCCATTATTATTTACCTTATAGCCAAAGCTTAACCAAAGAAAAGCAGTTATTCCTTTTCACATGGCAAAGACTAATAAAATGAACATTGCAAGCCAGATTTCACAGTTCAATCTTTATCTATAAATCTGATTCTGATATAGAAATGGGACCAATATTTTCAAAAAATCTCAAACACACAACAAAAAGAAATCCAAAAAATGCAGATAACTACTATTCAGTAAAGCCCACCGAATCATTCTGTAAATCTCCAAGAACTCATTACTAGATTTATTCAGATTGTTTAGAGCCTTTTAAGCCATTCCTTCTTCTGTAAATTTGAGTCCTACCTTGATGGAGTCTCTGTCTACAGGCAAAACAGCAGCAACATTGGCAGGTAAGTGGGGAGAAGAAGGAGGAAAAGAAAAATACCAGTTAGTTTACCTAAAACCATGCATTTATTAAATCTGATCTCTGCTCAATAATAAATGGCATAGATGTCAACTCTGCTGTAAAGTTAATTATTAATGCCACTCGACCAGATCCACAAAGTGCCAATCTACCTTTGACATAATTTCAGAAATTGAAGCTGGAAATGCATGTTATTTATACTCCTTATTGACTTTTCCACTTATGAAAGTGTTTACAGACATGTCTCAGCTCTGTACTATAGCATTACGATAACTGGATCACAAATACTACAGCGTTTCCAACATCAGAGATGAGAAATCTGTCTGTGATAAAAATCATTTATCCAAGATTATAATTCACAGTAATGACACTGAAACAAGAGTAGATATGAGGCTTTAATTACAACCACACCCTTCGGACCAACGAACCATCCATGTGCTAATAAGTAAATTCCCATAAAGGAATGCTGGGAGAGACTTTCATTTGCTTTTCTGCCATTACTTAATAAAAATTACTAATAAGCACCATACAGATACATAGTCACATCAAAATGCCTCTGCACCATCACCTACTTTAGTGGAAGGAAGAAGCCAACCCAGAAGGAGCACAACTGGCCTTTAAATCAGTTATTTAAATAACTGTGTTGTTCTTATAGGCAGAAATGAGTTAATTTCATGCTTCTCAACAGACTGGGTGAGAGAGGTAGTTAAACCAACAGATTTCATTAATTGGGGCTGCACTTTCTCAATTACTAAGACTAATGAAATTGTTTTCTTACCTGCAAGATTTTCCCTGCATTATATAGGCTGATCTGGCTTATAAATAATAATTGAGTCTGTCAAATTATTAAGTGAGCCTTTATCAGTAAATCTTTCCCCAAAAATAGATTCGGCCAAAATGAGCTATTACTGCCACTCACTGTTGCAAACACAGAGCAGTGTGGCATTTCATTACTGCTTTAGACTTGGGGAACAAGGAGGTAGCAGGGGATCAGAGGCAACAACCAGGAAATGCAATCCCCCTTGCCTTTGGGGAGTGCATTAACTCTTGCCAACCACTAGGGTAACATTTGGCAAAAGACTGCTTTCAGTAATTAATTTATCTTCCAGCAGAAATCCTTTGTTTAGTCACTGGTAAAGTTAAACAGCGACATCCAGACCTACCCTCAGCAATGGCAGGTAACATCAGATTGATATTCCGAGACAATCGCTCACCTCTTTGGTGATCATTGTCATGGTGCTTCTTCTCATCTTTAATTGGAAGATGGGACTGGCCTCCCAGGGCGCTGGAGAGGGCCAGAAGGCCGGCACTGCTACCGATGGGAGGAATGGCAGGGGGCTGAAGTCCCGAAGGGTGTGGGGTCAGAGGCACTGGCAGACCATGTCCATGTGATAAATGCTGGGCCTGGAGTTGTTGCTGCTGTGAGAAACGAGACAAAGATATTGAACTTGTCCCAAGTATCTGAGACACCCCCCAACAGAAAAGGAGAGAAAAGAGGTGCAAAAACATCATGGAAAGCCCAGCACCCGTGAAGGACAGATTTATCCTTCATGTATGTATGTGTGCATGTATATATATATATATATATATATATATATATATAGATAGATATAGATATAGATATAGATATAGATATATATAGATATAGATATATAGATGTATATCTATAGATATATATCTTTTTAAAGGAGAGGGAGGGAGATGTATAATAGAGAAATATTATCCTTTTTACTTGGATTTGGCGGTTTTGTAATGCACTGTAAATAACCTAATTTTTAAATAGTGAAATTACCTAAGTTACTTTTAATTGCTGAAATACAAATTTCTTTAACAAAGCACCTGTATTTTGTTCTCCAAAACATAAGGCCTCACTATCATACATCTCTAATCAAAACATATACGTGACTAACTGTTAAAGCAGTTATGTTGAACAAAAAAAGCTGAAAATTGAGAAAATTAGTGTTAAGCAGTCCTCCCAGAACCGCTGCACAGCATGCAGCGAGAGTTAATTTGAAAGAGAAAACCTGAATTAACAACCCAGAAAAGGAAACTGGTTGCTGCCACCGTTTTAAGCCCTTTAAGTGTCCTCAGCGGTACTTGAGCAAATTACTAAAGAAAATCTAATGTAGCAAGGCTTGGGTCCTCCTGTAGGCTTGCTCAATAATGCTGAAATAATTGGGCACTCTGTGCACGTTTAGTGATGCTCGAATGAAAAGCTAGAGGCCTGCCCTTGTACTCTTCTCCAGCGGCCGCCTCTGTGTTGTGACAGGTTTATCTGAGTGGGACTGTGATGCATGCACCAGTAACTGTGCTGACAAGAGTTTAAAGTCATTTTTACCAGCACACTGGCAACACATGGAGAAAGCCCTCGAGAGGCCGGAATGGTGTGCTTGACCCCAGCCGGGGCTGCAGCAAGCTGGGCGACAGGAGCCGCGGTGGGCAGGCCTTGCTGCCTCGTACGGGGGGGGGGGGGGGGGGGCGGGCAGGATGCTAAGTTAAATATGTCCCTCAACAGGAATGCCGTCAACCGAGACCCTGCTTAATGATGTTCTATGAGAACAAGTGCTGAGAAATTCTCAGACTAACTTCTGTAGTGACTACATTTTAATTAGTATCTTTAAAATCACTTTTCAGGCCCATCCTATGATAGCTAAACAGTCTCCTCTATCACTTTCTTTCCAAGCAGGACTGCACAAGATAATTTTCTCATAAATGTGTGGGGTGGCATATCCTGCTCCCCTTCACTGGCAAGGAGGATCTTGAAATGCCTTTGTTAAAAATATTTTTTAAAGAAAATATTTCAAAGAAAAAACAGGTTTTTTTCCCTCTTCCCGAAATGACTTTGACTTCCTTCCTCTTCCCCTTTATACCTCTTCCTGTGTCTGACTACAAAAGTCAAAGTGCAGCACTATTTAGTTCTTCTCTTCAGTTGACCTGCACCTACTTTCTGGCCATTGACAAAGTACTAATGCTTTTAAGGCAAGTTGACAGACAAAATGGCAAATCAGAGCAGTGATGCAGATGCTCCACCAACCAGCGGCCAGACTAAAGTGTCCTGCCAAAGTGCTACCTAACTGGACAGTTCAAAATAATGCATTTCTTCATTTGAGTGGCCAAAATTACGTTCAAAATTCTTTATATATTGTTATTTAGTTGTGACCAAAAACCAGGAGCACACAGTATTTTCTAAATGTGTAGAAAATATGTCTATGAAGAAACAAGGCCTTTAGGTAAATATATGGCAAATTTATTTCAAAACCTTGTTCAACTGAAATAGCCAGAAAATTGCTCTAATTCTCCTCTAAATCCCTTAATGCTTTGTGACCGTGGGTCGGGCACGTAGCCACTTTCTATCTCAGGTCAGAGTTCAGCTGGCAGCACAAATTATTCAGAGCCTGCATATGCGTCTCATCACCTTTCCTGACTAAGCTCTGTGACAGCCTACAACTAACACACCCTAGCTAATGCAGGTACTGAGACACATGTAATACCTGAGCAATCAAAAAATATAGGTCTATTTCATTAGACATTAAAAAACAAAACAAAAAAATCCCTTAGCCAAAAACAGTACCTTCAGTGGTCCGGGTGTTTCACTTTTTTTCTCTCACAGGACCAAAAATAAGCACTAACAGCCCCATTTCCTCATTCAACCAGTAACTTTCCAAAGGCAGAAAACACACCCCTGGTCCGTAGCACATGCCACTCAGTGCAAAGATTTCCAGGGCTCCTCTCCGGTGCTCTATTCTACTTCAAAACAGCTGTAACACTACCCTCCCCCCTCTCCCGCTGTGCCCATCTTAGAGGAAGGAGGATCCCCTTTGCCTTCCAAGGCCCAGACCCCTCCCGGCCTGCACAGGCTCCATCGTCTTTACTTCCCTTCTCCTTTCGTTACTCCATCAATTCTCAACTCTCTCCCCCACTGCAGTGGTTCTACCACTGATTTTGTTTTGCTTGCAAACCTAACACCTGCATTTCTAGCATTTTGTTTAAGGTGAACTGCCTACCTAACACTAAAAGAACTTGAGGTAACATGTTTTCAGGGGTGGGGGAAACACCACACTATAATCAGTTTTCCTGTCCTCCACTGCCCCTAACAAAATGTTTGTTAATTTAACTAAAATAACCTTCTTTTGCCCTTTTCAGCTACTAGCCTATATAAATTTACATATCCTTGTCTATGCCCAACCAAACTTCTTCAAAAACTAGTGTAAATTTGCAGTCTCCACTTCTCAACAACCCCCACCGTCACAGACAGACAGACAAACACACACACACCTCTTACTCCTGAAACCCTGTAATCTAGATTCCAGGCCTACCATTCTATAAAACTGAGGACCATTCGGACAACAATTATTTCCAGATTTCACAGCCTTCCTTCTGGCTGACCCATCTGCAGCCAGTGCTAGTATATCCTCCTTAGGAAACTCTCCACCTGCTTCAGGGACACCGCAGTGATCGCCACAGTCTCTCTTTTTTCACCTCTCTGATGCTCCTGTTAAATTTCCTTCTTGGCTTTTTCTTCTCCTGCTCACTACAGAGGAAGAGTCCTAAACCTCTGGATACTTCCCAGTGCTCCAGTACCCCTGGTTTAACTTCTTGCCAGACAATTCTACTTAGCGGTCCAGCATTAACTAAAAATGAAAATGTTTAACACAAACCTGCCAAGCAACTTCCTCTGGCTCAAGTTATCAGTCACCATTAATTTGTCTTTCTTCTCTGCTCCTACATCCATCATCACTGAATTCTGTCAGTTCTCAATTCCTCATATTCCTACTGCCATCCTCATCATCCCATACTTTGATGATCGCAAGTCTCCACTAGCTCATTTGGATTCCAATGAACCCTCCACACCCCCTGCATCATCACTGACAACATTTGTCTCTCAGCTTATGGCATCTCCTGTCTCTTAGAACAAAGTCTCCACTACTTATCTAAGTTGTACTCACCCATCTCAGCTCAGCTCATGTTTCACCTGTTCTGCAAAAGCCTCTCCAAACATGCCATGGGTCTACTATCTTACAGGACTCCCTGTATCATGCACTGGCATAGGCTGCCTCATAAAGGTACTGTTACTCGTCTTTTTATGGATGAGAAGACCTTGACTTGCCAACAAGATTGTGACACTGGAGAGAAGAGACCGGCCTCAGAACTCTTTGTACCCCTGGCACCTGGCTCACCACTATTCAGTCACATGGTCAAATATTTAAAACTTTAAGTAAATTAAATTTCTACTAAATATAAAGAGAGTTTCTATATATCCTTCACCCAACTTCAACTAATTTCAAAACATCTTACGTACTCACAGAATTTATCAAAACTAAAAAAATTAACATTCTATGTTACTATTAATCAAACACGGACTTTATTCAGGTATCTCTATTTTTTCCATTAATGTGATTTTTCTTTCCAGGATGTCACACTGCATTGAGAGGGTTTAATTTTTCACTTGTTTATTATATCAAAGTTATAACGCCCTTGTAGTAACTTATGGTGAAAAAAGAGTATGAAAATGGATATATGTATGTTCCTTTATGACTGAAGCATTGTGCTGTATACCAGAAACTGACACATTGTAAACTGACTATACTTCAATAAAAATATAAAAACAAGCTAACAAAAACAAAAATTGATAAATATATTACATTTCAATAAAAATTTTTAAAAATTATAAAGCCCTTTCAAAGATCTTATAAATGACAACATCCACATTATAATCATATTGTTTAACAGAATATGCCTTGAACTTAGGAGAAAGAGGAAAAAAATGAGAGGGGACCACCATAAACCCATTTGACAAGTCATCCATTATATATACAAAATAGCAAACAAAAAAGTTTACTCAGGGCATCTTGTAGCAAGGAGCAATATTTAGCAAGTTTTTAAAATATAAAACTGTTAGATAAAAATGAGATTAAGTAAATTATCAAAAAGTACATGATAAAAATGTAAGACAGGTATTCTGAAATACTTTAGTATTATTGAAATTTTTGTATCAATAAAACAAACCACCTTCTGTATTAAGTGGTCATTTTTAAGTTGTAAGTTTTCTCCTTAAAAACTATCCTAGCAGTACAGTGACAGGTATACTTATAATGGATAATGATTCCTGATTAGTCAATGAAACCAATGTATTAGAGACCATCTTCTTTAAATTAAAAACAGTAAGTCATCAACAGCTAAACTGAACTTTACTTTTTCCTCTATTAAAACAAAAAAGCTTTAATTTATCAAATTTCAAATAGCATTCAAGAATTCAAAATGAAAAAGAATCTATTAAGTCTTCTCAACAATGGAGGAAAACTCAAAGCAGATTCCCTGGAAAAGGAGTCAGGTTTCTCTGGATATTATTCAGGAGCTGTGAGTAGCATAACCTAATGGGCTGCCCTGCAATACAGGGAAAGCGTGCTGATGTTTCCCAA